GAAGCAAATTTCTGCACGACCTGCTGTGCACGAAACCACGTTGCCAACCGTTCTCACAATCCATCTGAACGCATAACATATTTGTGCTTGAAATTACAAACAATTTTGTATCTTAGGGTAAACCTATACAAAAATAAGACAACTAAATTAACATTATTTAGAAAACAAATTCAATCTTGATTTTTCCTCACATATGAGACAAATGATTATAAGTTATTGCCACATTGTGAAGATAATGATTGAGAAAGATTGGTGTCCTTGTTTCAGATCACACTTGATGCAGTTCTATGAGTAGATTCAATTAACAAACTGAAAATCAGCTTTTTTTGTCGATCTGTTCTCTTTAATAGAAAGCGTATTCAATAAGTGATAAACCTACAAAAACTACAAATGAATTTCACTGAAAACTCATCTTGCTTTGTCTCAGTTTTAGGATTCTTTTTCTGGTTAAGTTTTTTTAATTTTATTTTGATCTCTGTTTAGAAGCTGTGAAATCTGTTTGGCTCTTACTGTGAAGTAAGTACGATTGTACTTTACTAATTTATAAGTACTATGAGATTAAAGTTCGGGAGATTAATCTAGTCCTAAATCTGTAAATCATTGGTTTATTATGTTGTATGCTACAAGATAACAAATATACAAGGTGAATTGTATGCAGCTGAGTTGTTTAAGACATTACGCTTTTCATGAAAAAGGCATGAAAATTAACCTTATTCAGTCAATTGGTTTCTTCACTCGCTGAGCTCATCTTTTATAGTTTTTTCTCTATTTTCCTCCTGAACTTTGCCTTTTTTGTCTTTTGTAACCTTTGAAATCCAGTCGCGTCAATCAAGTCCTCGCTAGAACTTTCACGATAACATCTTTTTCCATCGTAAAAGCAATCACTCCTTCTACAGCAATGAGTCGAGCGAAACTCGATGAGTCACGTACATCGGTAGCTGAAGCCCAAAACTATTGGGGATTCGCTAATTTTCCTAACCAAGTATTTCGCAGAGCAATTAAAGATGGATTCAATTTTACGCTGATGGTAGTTGGTGAGCTTTCTCCATTAATCTCTATGTTAGTGTTTTTGAAAGATTGTAAAGAGATATGAATCTCAGATTCACTTTTTTTGTTGCATATGACTGATCTAGGTCGCAGCGGACTTGGAAAATCTACCTTCATTAACACTTTATTTATGGCCGAAATCCATGATCTGAAGGAAGCCCCAGCATCTACTGGATCCACGGTCCGAATTGAGGAGAAACATGTAAGTGAAGGGTGCTGTGTCAGGCTATTTTGAATCATAGTGAAAGGCTAGGAATAGTGTCTTTTTGTAACACTATCTGTTTTTATTTATTCATGAATGTTAACAATTATGGTATCTGATTTAGGTAAAACTTGTAGAGAATACTGTAAAACTCAATTTGACCTTGGTAGACACTCCTGGTTTTGGCGATGCTGTCAATAACACTCGATGGTGTGTGCTAACTAACTTTTTAATATTCTTTAGTCCTTCATTTCTTCTTTTTTTTTAATGGAACCGCAATTTTTAGCTGGGAGCCCATCATAAACTATGTCGACGGGAAGTTTTTGGAGTATTTTTCTGAAGAAACAAAAATCGAAAGGAAGGAACGACCTGTGGACAAATGTG